TTGTAGGGCCCAAAAGATTTTTGGGCATGGTCAGCTGAAACCAAACGAGCTATTGATTATGAATTCAGGTCCAGTCAGTTTACAGGTAAGGTCAGCTCTTTTTTTATTTTTTACTTATTATAAAAAGCAAACTTGTTTTTTTATATCATTTCACTTTTCTTGTCTTAACAAAAAAAAAAAAAAAACTTCATTTCTTCTTAAAAAACACAAGACAACCACTACCTAATTCTTAAAGCCTAGATTTTGACATCGGCCATTGCTAACTCCATCATTGGCCTCTCTACATCGATGTCGATTAGCTCTCAAATTTCATCCAAAAATTCCCTTCAATCTCCTGAGCATTTCTACTAGACCAGATTTTTTAAAAAATGTACATATTTTCCTAAATTTAAGGCCAAAATCAATGGCTTCTCACCCTTTTTTCACCGATCGATCCTTACAAAATTTTGATATGTCGTTACCTTCTTCTCACTCTTTGTTTCCACCATTTGGATCATTTAAAAAATCTTACCATCGCAAGCTACCATGAGCCACCATGGGTTGTACCACCACTTGTAACCTAGAAATGACCTCTCTTTAATTTCTTACCTAGGCCCTAAAAGATCTTTTAAAAAATAAACCTTTTAGACTTGAAACTAAACCCTATTCCTTCCTTTAGACTTTTCTTATGTTATCATGGCTTATGTTCTTTTAGCTTATGTCGATTATAACTCCCTTTCGAGGATGAGTTTTTTTTTTTTTTTGGGTTTTTTGTTATTGATAGTGGGAATGATGTGGTGGAATGTGGTTTTTGGGTGCATGGCTATTTGGCCATGGAGGTGTTTTATTGATCGGTAAAAAGGTCTCGACTGATGACTAATAATGGCGACATGGGTTGTTTTGGTTGTAAGGTGGCCTTAGGTGGCTTTATGGAGTTGTTGAGAGATCAAATGGTTTGGCTATGCTGGTTGAGGGTGGTTCTCAATGGTGTTGGGTTTTGGTGTTTGTTGCAACCAATGAAAGGCTCTTAACCTATGGGCATGGGGTTATCGTGGTTTTTGGGTAGTTCAGCTATAAAAGGAGTTGTGAAGGGGCTATGGGATTTTTTGTGAAAAATTTTTTGTTATAAAATCTCTTTGTCTGAATCCCTTACTCTATGTATTACATTGTTTTTTCAAATTGAGCTTTTTCAATAGGTAATTGCATTTTGGAGTTTTATTGTAGCTTGGTAGCATGGTTCTGTTTAGGATCACAAAGCTGCTAATTTTTAGATATTGAGTCAATCACCAACTGGTGGTGAAAGTTTTGTGATTAAAATGAGAGGGAAAAATGCAAAGCTAAAAATGGTGAAGCAGCTTGGGGGAGATCTAGGATTTTGGGAGGAAAGGGTGCCATAGCAATTGACCCTCTCCTTTTTTTTTGGTAATTTTTTAATTTTTTATGATAAAATTATGATAAAATGATAATTAATCCAAAACAAGCCCAAAAGAACTCATTTTAATTTAAATGCTTAAGCTAGCCTAGATCAAAACGTTCAAATCAAGTTAAAAAATTGAACAAACTCAAATTGATTTGAACAAAATTAGGTGTCGACAACATCTTCTTTCAAAGTAGCTTTTTCCTTTAAATAATTTATTTGTAATTTAGGTAATAATTTTATTTCTAAATGTTCACTTATGGCTTAAAAAGTAGTAGTTTATAGCCCATTTCATTTCAAAGCATGGGTAGGGTAGTTAATCGTTCAGATGGGAGAGGCTTGGAGAACATATATACTGGAACTGAACAAAGTTCTATATTATTATTATTATTATTATTATTATTATTATTATTATTATTATTATTATTGTTATATGAAATATTTTTGAGAAGTTATTTTATTGGTGAGTTTTTTTATAGTTTTAGAGTTTTAATATGATTATATTATTTATTTAGATATTTCAAGACATTAAGAGGTTATGATGATTACAGAAATTGAAAGTATGACTTATTTATAGAAGTGTTCATAGGTTAAGTTGAGTCCATATTTGGTACTAATAACTTATATACTTGCGTAAATCTAATCTTGCTCGATAATTCAGGCCTTAAAATTTTCTCAAGTCTAGCATAAATTGAAAAAATAAATCTCAAACTCATCTATTAAATCTAATTTATATAATAAAAAATTTTAAAATATAAAATATAAAAATAAAAATTAACATATATATACTTATATAATTATAATATTTTAATTATATATTTTATTAGGACCAAGCCAAGTTGGATTCAGGCTTTAATTCTTTTATTCAAGACTCGACTCGAAACTTAAATAGACCTAAAAATTATATCTATATTCTCTTAAAACTCAAATTATCCTTTAAATCTGAACAAATAACTTGACCGAATATGTTCACTTATTTATATTGAGGGTGGTTATTTATTCAGAAATTTTGTTGAGTGTGATTTTGTATAATAGGTCTACGTGTGGCTTAAAAAATGCCTATGAAAAACTCAATAGAGATAAATAAAAGTCGTGTGATTATGTGATCATCTTTATTAAAATTTCCAGTTGCAGTTTGTCAGATTAATAAAATTATTTTCTTGTAATATTTTGTGATTGCATCGATATAAAATTCAGCAACAGCAAATCAAATAAGAAACAAGTAGGAGGCCGGAGAAAGCTCTTTCCTTCAATGATCTTTTAGAAGAAAACAAATAGTCAAATTCAATATCACTTACAGTTGAAAAAGATTGTTCAAATGCATCTTATTGTCCCCATTATCATCATCCTCTGCTGGAGAACTATTAGATTAGAGAAATGAATGGAATGGTCTTTGCCAATTGCCACCACCATTTTTTAAAAAAAAATTTTTTGGCTACTTATCTGGATGAATGTTTAACATCCCTTGACAAATAAACTAAATCTATAACCAATGAAACTTTGATTTAATTACAAAGAAGAAATCCTAAAACTTTGATTGGATTTAGATTTGATTGGTTTTTAGTTAAATGATAATTTATTAATTAAATATTTAATAATATAATAGTTGATTATTTAATTGATTATATAAATATAATATTTAATTATATAAATGTAATTTTAAAAAATTATTATTATTATTATTATTATTATTATTATTATTATTGATTTCATTTTCAAATGTATGATCATTTTCAAGTGCCTTCAATTTCAAACACGACAGCTCACCAATGCGCTTACACATATTGGTTTGATCCGACAGTTTGGGCAAGAGCCTCGACCTCTTGCAGATAAAGTAATTGCAGTGAAAGACAAGACGTTTGTTGACCAGGAAAAGCATGCTAATCTTTATCATCACCTTCAAAGATTCCTGCCCCCCTTCACTTGAAAAATCCTAATTCTAATATTAATTTGTAAGGTTGGGATCATTATATATACATTTATTTCAATGAATAAATATATAAAATACTTTAATTTTCTATATTTTAATTAAATTTGGTTTGTTGTCTTTCTAGTTATTCATTTAAATGAAGGAATGGAAGTTTTTTATGTTGACCCCGAATCTAGCTTTTTATCAAAGGTTTGATGGTCAACCTTTTTAATAATATAATTGGGAATATCTTTAAATTTTTTTTAAAATTCAATGTCAGATCCAAACAATATTAAAAATGTATTATTATTTTTCTTATGCAAGATTAGATCTATCCAAAAATTAAATCAGATCAAATTGATCTCTAAATTCTTTTATTTAAAGCTTGATTTTGCCCATTGGGTTCGAATAGGTTTGATTATTGTTGAAAGATATCAAAATATTAAAAAATAATTTTATATTTTAAAAATTAAATTTAAATAAAAAATAATTTTTTATTCATTAAACAGTGGTTAAAGTCAGATTCGGGCTCCTAAACTTATATTTTAAGGCCTCAGTCACTCAATCCATGGACAGGTTTATGCAGAGTTGTGCATTTAGGGTTTTATTTTGAATATTTCATCATAGAGATCAAACCTTAATGATAAACAAATAGTCTGGTTAATGGATGTTTAAATTTGAAGATAGTTAAAATACTATTTAAAGAAAATTTTGTACATTTAATGCATTATTTTCACTAAATTTAAAAATAATACGTTAATAATATATATTTTTAAATATCATCTTCATTAGTATCACTAGACATTAATTAATATTTTTCTAACAAAATTATTTTATCAATTGGCTTAATGATCATTAGTTGTTATATATTTCTCATGATAATTTGCTTTATTGTTATAATAAATTTAAATTTTAATATTTATAATTTTTTATTTTTTGTCCTCGACATATGATCTCTTTTATAAAAACTAATAATGAGATAAAAAAAAAAAAAGAAAACAACCCAGAAATTGTTTGTGAAAATGGCAAAATGGGATCAAACTTTTAGGGGCTCGAGAATGGAGCCAAAGTGTCTGTGCATATATATCCACAAGCTAACTAGGGCCTAGGGAAGAGTTGATATTAATTAAATTTTGTACATAGCATAGCATTAATGTATGATGTACCAGCCATTAGCACGTACTTAGTTAACAGTAGATGTTTTTTTGTCCTCTCTTCCTTTTCTTTTTAAAGAAGAAAATTAAGGATGATTTCATTTTTGTCCTAGAGTTTGCCAAATTTTGAACTTATTTATCGCCGCTTCCGTGCAGAAAATACTACATAAAACTTTATTGGGAAGAGTTTTTTTTTTTTTCTTTTGTATAGGTACGTATTTCTTTTGCTTCCTGAATCATTAAGTAAATGATGAGATGAGATTACACAAACCGTATATGATATTCAATTGTTATTTTGTAATTCATTTAGTGGAGCGGTTGTTAAATTTAAATTATCCTAAATTATTAATTAATATTAATTAATTTGATCTTTAATTATTTTAATGTTATTGTTAAAAGGGTGGAACTCTTTTATCTCGTCAGCACCGCACCGCACAACTTCCTAACAAACCCAACATTAGTCATCACCGACAGGAAGGAACCCCCCACCCCTCATCATGATCAATCACAGGGCCCAAATCACATAGCCGTAACCCTATTCCATTCACTCTCTCTATATTAGCTTCTGCGTTCTCTAATCCGTGCTTTCCCCTCACCTTTTTTTTTTTTTTAATCCCTTCTTTGCTTCTTAGAAGAGCAAACCCAGACAGAGCCATGCCAAAATAAACCAAAATAAAAACTGTTTTTATGACATTTTTTTTTACATGTTTTTGTTTTATCTTCCATCATCATCATAGCAGTAATTTTTGTGTCCAAATTTGGTTTTGAAGCTTCAGGTTTTGGAATGGTTTTCTTTTTTGATTGGGAAAGAATTGAGTGGCATATGGTTCAGGTGATACAGCAGCAGCTGGGGAAATCTAAAAAGAGATAGTGAAGAGAATTATGAAGATAATAAAGGGTTTTATGGTGAGTTGGTTTTGGATTAAGGCTTTGGGGTCATTGGGGGAGTGATTAAGGAGAAAACCCTAAGTCTTTTTCCTACTCATTCTCATATCTAAAATGGGTTTCCAGAAAAGATTAAAAATGATAACAGATCTGCACTGAAAGGAGTGATCTAATCTCTGTATAAAGCAGCAGTAGGGGGTTTAGCTTTATCTTTTTCCCATTTAGAGGATTGCTATGATTTCACTTTTTGTTTTCACTTTTTGGCCATTTATACCAGCGCATTTTAGCTAATGATGGTAAGAAGTGGATAATAAGAGAGGGACACAAAGAGAGACTGACAGAAGAGAGTGAGCACACACAGGCAATCGTATGGAAGTCACACCTTTGCCGGTGTGTGCTCACTTCTCTTCTGTCAGTTATTCAGCTTTGCACTTTGTTCCCTCAACAAATCACAATATTTATTTGTTAATTATATAAATATCCCTCGCTGCTTCTTCTTCTTCTTCTTCAATCTCCAGATGACACCTCACAGTATCGATTTTGCCAGATGTTTTTGTTTTTGTTTACATCCGTCCACATGTCATTCGCTCTGGAACTCTCTTTCTTTTCGGATAAGAAATAGCTACTGATCACAAACAAGTACACGAGAAAAAGAAAAGAGAAAAAGAGATAAGAACGCAGGGTTTTTTGTTGTTAAAACATCATCAAATGGTACCTTTTCTACAAACCCTCTGAAACCTTTTCGTTTGATTGATCAGACAGAGATTGAAATCCTCATATTTATGTGGGTGAGATAAGTCAATAAATAAGAGAGTTGGCAAAGAGTAAGATTCTTTGCTTTTTTGGGGGGGTTATCATTTATCAACAATACTTACTATTTTCTGTGCCTTTTAGTATTCCATTTTGCGTTTAAATTTTGCTGCTCTTGTTTTTGGGAATATTTTATGCTATTCAAATAACAAGAATTTTGTGATGGTGCTTTAAAAGAAAGCGTGACTTTTGATGGTCCTCTCTTTGAAGAGGACGAAGTGGCTTCTTCGATGGTACGCCTACTCGCTGTTCCCATTTTAACGGAAACCTTACCGGTATCTCGGAATTTTTTTTCATTCACGTTCTCATTTTTTTTCCTTGGTTTAAAACCCTTCTTTTCCTCTTCATCTTCATCTTAATCTTCCTGTTTTCTTGGAGTCCTGCAAGGTAAAGGCTGTCTTTGACTTGTGTTCTTAGTTTCTTATCTTTAATCTGGCTCTGATTTTGGGTTTTTTTTTGTTTGTTTGTTTTCTTCTGGTATTCCTGAGTTTTGACCCCAATACAAGCTGATAATTTTTGGATTTTTATTCAGATATATATATATATATTTAATTTTATTGTCGAACTATGGAAGCTTTTAACTATATTTGGGCTTTCCCAAGGTTTTAGATCTGGTACTATTGGCTACTTTCTTTGCAGTTACTGAAAATCTTGGGCCACTCTACTCCTTATGGTAGAATGGGAAGTCATCTTTTTCTTATTTTCTGCTAAAATATGCACTATTTCCTTTTCATCTTTGAAAGAATGGTAGCAGAAAATTTCCTAATGCAGGTTAGTAATTGATTCTGACAGTGGATTTTGCTCTAATTTTACTTTGTTTCCCTTTTTCCGGAAAAGCTTCTTTCTAAAATCTGGTTTTTTAATATCTTGGTAATAAATATGTTTGCAATTGTTTTACATACAGCACCTTGTTTGGAATTGGGAGGCAATGAACTGTTTCAATTTTGCACTGTTTAATCAATAATCATCCAGGTAACCATTTTCAATTTCATTCAAGCTTGTTTTGGTTAATGCTGTTTTGGCTTAAACTATATATTTTCTTTAAATTTTATGTGTTTTGTTGAGAGGTTACTCTTCAATTTAGGCAAGAACGCATTTCTCTATGTTGGAATCCAGATTTTGAGGCTATTCTTGAATATATTGATTAAATTGCAGCCATAATAATGGTTTTGCACTTGCTAGTTGCTATAAAAGAAGATAAATGATCAAAGAAGGATCAATGTATTGATTTAGCATAAAATTTAATGGGAACAAACAACATGCAAACAAGATAGCAGCAATTCCAGATTCATTTAAAATGCCTTTAATTTTTGCTAACTTTGATGCTAATTATCCTTCAAAACAGTGTTTGATATTCATCTAAAAGAGAGTTACTTCTCGCTGTTTGAGCATGCATGTTAATAACCTAGTTAACTTTACATTTAGTCTTGATAGATATAACTTTGGCTAATTTTATTTGTCTTGTCCTTATAATTTTGAACCATACAACACCCTTAAGTCAATCTTATTATTTGGTTATTTCACGCTATGTTTGGATAAATATTAATAAAAAAAAAATAAAAAAAAGGAAAAAGAATGAAAAAGAAAGTTTTTTAAAGAAAAGAAAATGATATATGTAACTCTTATTTGGATAATTAAAATTAATAAAGAAAAGGAAAAAAAAGTAATTCTAACAACCATTATTTGGATAAAGAATGAAAAAGAAAGGAAATGATTCATTATAATAATTTTTTAAAATTATAACCTTTTATTACTTGTAATTTTAGAGTATTTTTGAACTATGATATGTTTGTTATCTTGTTTGATCTCATAATTGCTACTATATCAATGGTTTTTAATCAAGTGAAACAAGAAGATATTTTACAAACATGCATTGATGGATTTTGAATTAGCCTGTCATCTCATAAACCAAAAATATATTTATTCATATTTAACTATTCATCAAAATCAAATCACCAAAAAATTATAAAAAATTTTTATATTTGAAGAGAAATATGAAATTTATTTGAAAAAAGAGATGACTTTGAAAAAATTATAGGATAATTGTGATATGCTAAGACTTTTTTATTAGGTTTTTAGTATTAATAAAATGATGAACATAATAATTTTTTTATAAAAAAAAAAATTTCAACTTTCCTTTCTCTAGCTTTTTCTCTAAATTGGGGTATTAAAAAATTTGGGTTTACAAGGGAAATCAAAGATTATTTGATTTTTACCTTTTTTCTTTTTTTAAAATTAAAAATTTATCTAAACAAGGGAATGAGGATTTTATTTCCTTTACATTCATTTACTTTACTTTCTTTTCTTTCCTCTCCCCTTAATCCAAACACACTGTTAATGTAAAAACAATAGTTATTTTGGTTTTGTACTTAAAACCTTGAGATTTTGGGTTTTGCTTGCAAGACAACCAAGCAAAACTCATATTCTGATGGTTAGAATTCAAATATAATACTGGAAATAAATGTCTTCTTGTAAGGTCCTTGATTTTTCCATTGATTGTTGATGCGTGAGAAGCTAATTTAGAGTTTATGGAGCGTGAGTATAACTACCAAAGATAGAATCCCTCAGTAGCTTTGGTAACTTATGGTCTTAGTGGTTGTTGAAATGAGAGTTCCTGTGATTGTTACTGTTCTGTTTAAGAATCAAAGCAGTAGCAAAAGCATTCCGGCAAGAAGTGGAAACTCTTCCTAGGTGGTTATAGTTACGGTGATAGGACACGGCGTTTGCGAGGTTATGTCAATAGCTTTGGTTGTGGATGGCAATGATTAGCTTTAGAGCATTAATTAGGAACAAGGCTAGCATTGTTATAGCATAAAGGATTGCTAACTAATTTTAATTAGAAAACAAGTGCACTGACATCACTAACTATGGATGGAATTTGAATTATGTATATGAGTATAGTAGTCTTGCAAATTTAAGTTAGTTTGGATTGTCATTAACCAAAATAGATTATAAATCTTTGTCTAGAAGGAGCCTTGGTTGAGCTTTTGAAAACCATCTTTTGGCACATGAAGTGAACCCTTGTAATTGCTCATATGTTTACGTTAGATCTTAGTTTGCATTTGGATGCTAACGGGGCCTTCAGTAGACATGCAGTTAGCATGTAAATCTGTGCCAACTGTGGAACTAAAATCCAAATGAATTATCAGTGTGGCCTGATTTTTACCAATTGTCCACTAGACTATTTTCGTCTAGTCCTTAACTAGTTTTTTTTTTTTTGTTTCCTACTTTTGTGTTTGTTTTTCTTTTTTTTTTTTTTACCCTTCAAGTTAAGTTGTAGAGACAAAAATATCCCTACAACTTAACTTTTTATTTTAATTTTTATTTAAAAATTATACATTAATAAATTAATAAACTTCATTATCTAATAAATTTATAAATAAATAAATTTTACTTATTTATTGACAAAATTATTATTTAGTAAATAATTTAATTATTTAAATTATTTATTAATTTATAAATATGAACTAATTAAAATTTTTATTATATATAATTTTTAGTCTAATGTTCTTAATGGTTATTTTTTTTAGTACAATTGATCTCACCGTCAACATTGTTTTTGTATCCAAACACGTATTTCACCAATTTTAATCTTACCATTATAGTAATTTATCTCACTCCTACCACCATCCAAATAGACCCTTAATCAATAATTTAAATGTTGGATTCAAACCATTACTAACTGTCATTTTTCATAGGCTTTCAAACATGCTACACTAGATTTAAACTCATGAAAACATGGTTGATATGGATAGAGATTAAGATTACCATAGCCTGTTAATTAGATTAAAATCTTGAATAGCTTGACCAGAAAATTGGTTGTCGAAGTCTAAAAGTAAAAAGTGGGATGTGAAATGGTTTATGTTTGAAGAAGGGTTAAGAAACTGATTATATTTGATTTGAGAAGAATTCTAGTATTACTGGCTTAACTCTCAAGTTAAATGAAAATTTTTTAGTGAATCCAAATTATTCTGCTAAAACTTATTGTCGTTTTAGATCTTTATAATTTGTCAAAATGACTGGCACTGATACTGAGAAGATTTTGCTTTTATTCATAATATCTTATTATGTATAAAGGGGGTAGGTCTGGTGTTCATTACTTTCATCCTCCTCTTCTATCTCCAACCATATTTTTATAACAAGGCAAACAAGGTAAAGGACCAATGGAAAATCCATGTGATAATCCAGAGGCAACTAATACTTGCATCAGGCAAGAAAAGGAAAGACACAGTGTAGAGAACATTACCTAAAAACAAACCTAGGATGATGAATTATTTAAAAAATTGTGAAATAGTGAAAACCTACACGACCATCGTGTGTAAGTTAGTAAAGTCACTTTTGCCTCTTTTCTTATTTAGTTTTTAAAGTCACATTTGCCTCCTTTGTCCTTCTCTTGCTCCAGATAACCATAGCTTGCTAAGATGGCACATATGTTCTTTCTGTCTAATTGTTGCACCGGCAGCCACGATGAATGCCATATCCAGTTCCAAAGACAGATGAATTACTCACCTAGAGAATTTGATGCTTTATAATGTTTCCATTATTTATTGTAGTAGAGGTTCCAAGTTGTGGACAAGCATTTGATCAACATAGTTAAATATTCCATGAATTTTCTTCCTCAAAGTTACATAATGATTAAATTATGACCTGCAATTCACATAGAGAGATGCAGCTTATTATGGTTAGCCCCTTCTCATAACTGTTAAGTATTAAATGAAATACTTGTTCTCTTTTTATTTATTTAATTTTTTTTGCACAAAGGAGGCTACAACCTGAGGATAGGAAAAGGGTTGCAGGTGGTGGGAATTGAAGGTTAAACTTGATGAATGTCACCTTTTAAAGGTGATTGTATAAACTAACTGAATTAAATTATGGATTCAATGAAATAATCCTTTCTCTTTGTTAAATGAGAACATTATTTGAGTATTCACTCAATTTAAGTTTAAATGAAGTGAATAGATACATAGCTTAAACTTGTGTCTCTCAAAGAAAAAAATAGATACTAACAATATAGCACAAGGAATGGCGCATTCAGGAAGCATGAATTGACTTTTCTAGTGTCTTACACATCATTTCCAAGTCTCACTTATTCTGTTGTTCGGAAATAGAATTGATGTGTTGATCAAAGCTGTATCAAGCAACATCATAGAAAGGTTTGTCTTTTTTTTGGGGAAATGTGGTGCTTTCAAGCTTCAAAATATGACAATGAGTCCCTACTACTAGATAAGCCTTTTAAACGTATGTTATCAGTTAGCTGGTTAACTGGTTAATAAAGGAAAAGCTGCTTGTATAATAGGATTGTTATTTATGCAAATGTGGTAAAAACACTTTCTAATCTTATTATGATTGGTGAAAACTGAAGTCTAGCTGTTTTGCTTAATTGATAAAAAAAAATCTTGACTGCAGCTTAATTATTATCAAAATATCTGAAATTCAGCTAATTTTAACATCCATAGGATTAAAGCCTATGTGTTGGGGCTTTTCCGACAAAAACTAGGGTGGTATGGCTTTTTAAATTTGTTCTGATGTATCCAAATGCTAGCGTCAAGTCTGTCAAGTTTTAATGCAGTTTCCTGATGAACTCTATTTGGCTTTGGGAAAGATTCAAAGGTAAAATAGACTTGCTTGGTACCTTGATTTCCTCAACCCTTGGTTTCTACTCATTTGCTGTCAAGTTTTGTTCTCTCTGTTTTCAAAGATGGAAAAAGAAGATGCCAAAAGGCTTTTGTACTTTTTTAGTATATGAAAGTTTGGAATCAGATGCACTTTATAGTAGAATGGTTTTTGAGAATTTTCTTGTTGCTGCAGCTTATAGGAGAAACTTTGTGTTATTTAAAGTAATGTAATTGTGCATGCATTGATCCGTAAATTCAGTTCTATGCCTAGGTATTACCTTGTCCTGCATCAAAAAATGCAATCTACCTTGGTTTATATGGGCATCTTTTCCCTTTAGTAGCAGTGTGTGAAACTATTGCTTTTAGTCAATATATGTATATATGTATATATGTGTATATATATATATATATATATATATATATAGGGTAAATTATAGTACTGTTGGCTTTACTCGCTAGAAGATGTAAACGACCAAATGCTTGCTGGTTTTCAGGCTTAAATTGTTGCTTATAGCCTCAAGTTATTTCTCATTCTATTTAGTGGACACTGTAATGCCTTGGGCTCTAGTGTCTCTATGGGTTTTATTAAGTGATATTATCTACATCTGTTAAGTCTTGGGTTGCTTGTATTCTTAAATTCAAATTGCACTTCTCCACCTATAATCAATTAGTTTTAAATTAAATGCTTAACATGATATTAGAACTCAGATTCTGTTATATTCTTCATACCTAATATCTTTTTTAAGTGTTACGCCTACATGTGACGAGCTGAGCTTATAACTCTTCTGAGTTTGTCACGTGTAGTTATGCCTACACATAATGGAGGTGTGTTAATTAAGTGGTAGTGTCACATATCACTTAGGTTTTGGGCTACTTATGATCTTATTTTCAAGTTAAGTCTCTTCACTTATAGTTAATTGGTGTTAGATTTGATACTTAATATACTTATGTTTCTTTTCCAATTTTACAGCCTTGCATTCTAAGTCTATTTAACATTTTGTTATAGGTTTGTTTAGTGGTATACCACAATAAAAAGGGATGAATAATATGTTTGGATTAATTGTTATTCAGAATGTTTTTAAGGACGATTTTAAGTTTTCTGTAGGGTGTGTTCCCATTTAGTTTGACAGTGGTTTTCAAAACTTGTCTGCTTATGTTTTATTTAGGTATTAATTGTTTTCCTTTTTTCAAAAATGATTTACCAGTTGCATTCTTAATCAGTTTCATTCTGTTATCTATGTCTCTTTATATTACACTACTAAAATTTCCAATCATAATGTTATGTTCCTCAGAATCATAATGGGAGAACGAAATGTTCAACATGAATTGTAACTCGCAATTCTCATGGAAGCATCTGCGTAATTCATCCATGAAATTCGAAGGTAATATGGAATTTGCATGGTGCAACATCACTACTGAAAAAGAAAACCTCTCTGAATGCTCATTTCTATAATGACTGCTACAAACTATTCTTTTAGGACAAACCGGTGTTGGTAAGGCATTTCATGTCGGCAAAAGATGTGCTGGAACATACTACTTTACCCCAGTTCTGGGGATGGGACGAGATCTAACATGTCGATTTTTGCAATAAATTTTATGATGGCTATAGCAGTCGAAATTATGTGTTCATGACAGGGTCGAAGGTGGTTTATGAGATGTAGAGGTGGAAGATGTTCATCATGATTGATGCTTTTCAAGTGTGAAAGTAAATAGTCAAAACTTTGTTACTTTTAACATTGTTTCCTTTTTATTAGTACTTGTCTATTAGTAGTATTTAATTATAGAGACTTGAAGTGAAACACGTATGTGCTTGTGAAAAATGAAATCCTTGATAATTACTTGATGAACTTTTGTGTTTCTCTTTTACATTGTCTTCTGTGGATTAGAGAAGGGATTGTATATACTGTAAGAATGATAGTATGAACCAATTAAGTTAAACTTCAAGTGTATAACTTGATGCGTTTTGATTGTGATTGTTTCTTACCAACATTACTTTTTTTCCCTACTAGCAATTATTTTGTGACTGGAGTTTGGGGTTTGGAAAGGCATAGGAAAGGCTGAGCCACGCCCTTCCATCCTAACATTCTTCTTGTCTCTTGTAGTTTTGCCTTAGTTATTTGTGTTGACATTTTTTAGAATGGTCCAGTATTTGAGGCCCAAATCATCTAGTTGATGGGGGCCGCCAAAAGAGTTTCTGACCATGGACTGAATACTAGATTTACTCAATCTAATATGGGCCCACCTGGCCCAATTTCTACAGTAGACCCCACTGAGTACCCTCCATTTTAGTAGGACAAAATAAAAAGCTTTTCAATTATTAATATTATTACTGTATTAAAGCTAAGTCAATCAACTCCATTAACTAGAAATAAAACACTGGCGCCCACAGATTAATTATTCTATAAGCAGTCTTTTATCTTGGACAATAAATTGGGTTATCTTTGTCCCTTTAACTACGTTTGTAACACTCGGGGCCATTTAGGTGAGATTCCCCTTTATCATGTCCAAATATGTAGTCATAATTATGTCTCATATTCTTGGTAGTCAAACCAGATTATCAAAGGATTATGATTTTTAGTATATTATTATATTGTTTGAAAACCCTTTTCTTTGATTTGTGATTTTGGACAGTCCATTTGTCTTAGTCTATCTCATCTGTTTAGCCATAAATAATTATGTTTAGAGATGAAGTTATCAACGAATTAATCATTCACTTCTTTGAATCTAATTAAAGTACCTTCCCACATAGATGCAAGAGAAAGAATATGAATTAAAATTTGCAAAGAATGCATCATCATACATATCATCCTGTGATTATTGGCCTGATTATTGCAAGAATATTATCTTTTAATCAACTATATTAAGCATTAGGTTATAAGTAATTAACCTGGTAGTACGATTAAATGTTTTTTGTTATAATATGTCTTTTACACAAAGGATGCAGTCTAAAGATAAAAAAGAAATTGCAAGTATTTGGATTTAAATTTTAAACATATTGGATATTAATTTTAAAAGTGATTGGATGAAGAAAATTACTGTGAAAATTAATGTTAATTTCTTCTGGTAATTAAATCGGGGAGAACCATCATGTTGAATTGTACTAAGATAATTAAGTGTTTTTGAGAATTTATAATCTAGATGAAACGTTTCGCATAGTTTGATAGGAAAGAACTTAAAATTAGCTGCACTATTACTATCATTTCAAATAAAAAGCAATCTTGGTTATGAAAGTGTTGCATAAATTCTTGAAATACAAAGTTACCACCAACCTTATTAAAAATAGTTAAGATTACAAGATTTGTGATAGTAAACCCAATTTTACTTTGAATAAAATAGAGAAGGGTTTGGAAGTTGAGATGAAATGGTGAAGAAAAACATCAGACAGAACGCCAAAACCATATGCCTGAAAGTGGAATGGGAGCAAGTTGTAGTCACCACAATGTGACAGATGCTCTCCTTCACATGAAAGAAAATTTGGCCATGTAGTCTCTTATTCCAACCTGACAGCAGCTCTTGTCTCCCCCAGTTGCAGTTACATTTTTACTTCCACTTGCAAGATAGAAGCTGGAACAACACCTTTCTTTCGCTCTGGTTGACCCCCGAATGTTACACCATTTCTGTTAAACCATTTAGTTTTTTAGATTGCAAAATACTTTTTTTTTTTTTTAATAAAATTATGGGTAGAGCTACTGCTGTGAAAGCACATATTTACACTGTTTACCAACTCGTCTTGAGGATGAACTTATGTTCTGAACAGCTCTAACGAGAGGTCATAAGTGCTCAAATCCAGAGACATCTGGCAATCGAGGTCAAACTTGACCGATCGAACCAACCCCTCCTTTTAGGAACATTGCAGAATAGAGCTTCCAGGCCGTTTCCACAATATAAGAGTCACTCACGAGTTCAACTGACAGAACCCATATTCTGATTTAAGCAGCAGGACCCTTGTACAAGCTACCACAAACCATTTACAATTTACGTCCAGGGCACCAAACTTAACAGTTAAGGACCACATAAAGAGGGCTTGATCCTGGGTTTTCATTTGCAAGTGGTTAGAAACAGACTTACACTACTTCCTTTACTAGTTTCATGGCAATTCACGGTATCAAGAACATGGCAAACAATGGCATGTTGGACAGTAAATTGAGCTTCATATTTCGATAATCAAAAGTCTAACTTCCAAGTTCCAACACCCCCAAAAGCATATGACATACAATGACTTGCATGGTGCAAAATTTAGGCTCTCCCAAAATATACCAAAGCTTAAGCCCTAGTCTTAAAACAGCCGAAAAGACCATTAAGTTGTAGGACAAAAAGCACAGCAAGGGTTTATCAACACCTCAAAAGTAACTTTTCATTTTCATGATGATGATCAGTCTATGGCACCATATGCTTTCAGAGGACCCATATTATTACTTGCTCTAGAATGTAGATCCTTCAAAAATAGACAACGAAACAAAAGACGGAGGCTTTTTAAAAGAGATGCGATGAAACCAATAAGGCAAAAGACTCCAATCTTTGGTGGAATTGTAGGACAATAATTGAGAGCAAAATCAAACGACGTCATAATTATGCCCAGAAAAAATTGAAAACGCCATCTAGTTTCCTTGGAATGAAATATGATGGAAAGCTTTATCTTCTTTTCTTTTGTCCCTCTAATTTCTACCTTTCAAGAGCCTACAAACCACTCCAAGAGAAGTGGTTTGAACTTTGATTAGCTTTAAAAGTTGAAATTTGAATACGGCGATGGACGATTAAGGCGTGCTTTCCCAATTCCCATAAGAAATAGCAAAATATTTTTGTCTTTATTAGTAAAACGACTCCTAAATCCTAGTTAACTAGTGAAATATCAACTAGAAAAATCATGATGCAAAGCAATGCTCGGAAAAAAGTAAGAATTAGTGCTTAAAGGATGGTGATATGATAAGAGATCATTGATTTAAGATATATCACTATAATTGATAAGAGTGAAAGGAAAAAAAAAGTTGCAGAGAGAAAGGTTGTAACCGAAGCAGTCGACTTTGCACATATCAACACAAACATGAAAACATCAACATAAAATATATCAACAACAATAAAGTTTGTGGAGTGATTCACCATATCACAAACAACCAAACCACGAAGACATGATGAAAAATAATCAAGACGACAATCACAACAACAATAACATCATCAAACAATGGTCTAGAACAGATAAATCTTGAAGCTTCCCACCTCCCATAGCCAAATCAAGCAAGTGTCGAGTTTTCGGCAGGCGACGTCCAGACGATGTCCTTAAGCATCGGTCGGAGCTCTTTACTGCAAAACTGGTCGTACTCAAGGGTATCACCATGGTCTTTTTTAACTTCCACCACCAAAAGCGACGGCGTCACTGCAAATATGTCAGCAGCAATCGCCAATTTCCCTTTCCTTCCACATTCTTGACCCTGCAACCTCACTCTTGACTCGCTCTTCTTGACACTGAAGTTCACCGACTTGGCCACCTCCTCCAATCTCGATATTACACTGCTTGCTGGCCTTGTTGTAGCGAATCTCAGCTCCTTTTTCTCTTCTCTCTTCTTCTCTTCAAACAAAGGCGACAAATCAAAGCCCTCAGACAAAGAAATGATATGGAAGGCGTTCAAAGTCTCAGGCTTGGATGATTTGTCGTCATTGAACGCCTCAAATTCTGATTCTTCCTTGGTTCTAACGGTCTTGGGTATAGATTTCTTGAACCAAGAGGAATCCATGATCTTTGAGATGGTGATTCGGGTACTTGCATTGGGATCTAAAAGCTTAGTGATTAATATACGGGCTTCAGGGGAAAACCAAGGTGGGCACTTGAAATCTCCCCTATTAATCTTCTTATACATGGCCACCAAGTTATCATCTTGAAATGGTAAGAACCCAGCAAGAAGCACATAAAGAATTACCCCACAAGACCAAATATCTGCCTTAGCCCCGTCATATCCATTATTCCCAATAACTTCAGGCGCAACATAAGCCGGTGTTCCACAAGTTGTATGCAATAACCCATCTTGTTTCAAGTGCTTTGAGAAAGCACTGAGTCCAAAATCTGTAACCTTCAAGTTTCCATCATCATCTAAGAGCAAATTTTCCGGCTTCAAATCACGGTGGTAAACCCCACGGCTATGACAGAAATCAATAGCAGAAACCAACTGTTGAAAATAAACTCTTGCCAAGTCTTCCTTGAGGCGACCCTTGGCAATTTTAAAGAAGAGTTCTCCACCCCGGACAAGCTCCATGGCAAAGTAAATCTTGGACTTACTTGCCATGACTTCATGCAACTCAACTATATTGGGGTGCTTCACCATCTTCATAACGGAAATCTCTCGCTTTATCTGCTCCATCATCCCAACTTTAATCACCTTCTCTTTGCCAACAACTTTCATGGCAACAATCTTCCCCGTCTGAAGATTCCGTGCATGGTAAACTTTGGCGAAGGTTCCATGACCCAACATTCGACCAAGTTCGTATTTTCCATGAAGCAAAGCCGGGGGATCACTTTTAGTTTTCGCCTCCATTTTTTATCAGCTCGAGAAATAAAACACAGAAAAAAGCTTTGATCTTTTTCGATCTGAATTATTGTATAAACACAAGAGATAAGACAAAGAAACAGAAGATTAAAAAAAGAGATTCAGATAACCAAGTGTTTTTCTTTTGTTACGGTGCATGCGAATCACCCATCTTCAACGTGTTTACGGTGGCAATTCCTGCCGGCGATGGACCGCTTACCACGCACACATGGCTCAGGCCTTGTCGACGATTTTCTTCTCATCTCTCTGCATTCGCCACAGGAATTTTTTTCTCTTTTTTTCTTCTTTAAATGAAAAAGCTTTGCTCGATCTCTAACGCCAGGAGACGAAAGCTTTGCATTCCTCGTTCAAGCAGATCAACGATCCAATTTATGCAAGTAATTTCAAGCCTTGAATTCCCATTATATCCCTTGTCTGATCCGACGGTTATGAATCAACCCAGTGAATGAAACCCACATGGCATGATCTTAATGAAATGTAGATGATTGAAACAGTCAGATAGTGACTCGTGTGATGGTGTATAGGGAACCATCAATGGTAGCGTGTGGCTTTACGTTCTGTCCTCCGCCTCTTGCTCCAGCGGTGAATCCTCTTCCCGAGCTTTCATAATTATAGTTAGGTTCTTTATAATTCCGTGGGGTCCACACAGTGAAGGAAAGAGTGATTGTTGGTTGGGGATGATACCTTATTACGCCGTTACCAAAGTAAAAACCGAAAAAAAAAAAAAAAAAAAAAGAGTTAGAATTAAAATGGAAAAGAATATCTCTTCTTCTTCTTTCTCTTAAGAAATAAATATTCTAAATATTACTAAATAATTAATAAATTTATTTTCCAAGGTGCAACGTGGATCCCGAGCTATGTAATGGGGACACGTGTAACGGGTAGGGTAGAAACCTACCAAAGCCGACTCCTGTTTTTTATTTTCAAGTTCAATTTCATGCTTTAAACTTTTTATTATTATACATATTTTAATTTTAAATATATTTTTTATCATTTTCTATTATTTCGATGCACTTGGATAACAATTTTCACGATAAGAATGATTTTTAACAAATTTCATAATAAGAAAAAAAAATTTTTTGCTATTTTATTATTTTACTAATTCAAAATGCGATCTGTTTTGCTTTTCTTCATTCACATAATCCTAGTTATATATATTTATTTTTGTTAAGGACATTTTACAATCATAAAGGTCTAATGGTTTTTTATCATAAAAAAAATATTCATTATTAGCTTAGAATTATTTTAGTCATTCAATTTGAACTGAAAAATGATACGTTGATCTTATTTCTCAAAATTTAAATAAATCAGCACTGCATCTCATTTGATTTATCACTTTCCCATCTGATGTTTTCTTATAATGCCAAGCTGGGTTGACCCCATCAGCACTAAACTTGACTCCAAGAACTCAAAACACCAAGTTCCGTGCACCACCTCTCTTAAATATAAATAACTCCTCTTGCTAGGTATGGCAACAAATTCTCCACTCTTTCTAGATTTTCCCTCTTTCTCTCTTTCGAATGTTAATTTGAACGGCGAAACATAAATATTGAAATCAACTCCGACCTTTAGCTCTAACCAACTTTTGATCTCTTGTGATTTCAAATCTTTATTCTCCAAAAAAAGCTTGGCATCAACAATTGTTGTCTAATTTTTCTAATTTTAATCTTAGGATAAGAATCAAATTTATCATTATATTTAATTGAATTATTCAAATGTATCATCAATTTTTCAAATGATGCAATTTTACTTTTATATTTATAATTTTGGAACAAATTTACCATCATGCTTTAAATTTTGGAGTAATTAAAACATATTTATAATTAGTAAAAAAAATTAAAAGCTAATTTATAATTCAAAAAATATTTTTGAAAATGATATGACAGGAGAAAAAAACAGCTATAAAGCTAAATTTTAAATTTTTTATTTTACATAAATTTTTTTTATCATTGTATTTTGTATTAAGGATTAATGCCACGAATTGCCTTTAATTTTAAAAATTTTTAATATATTACTTAAATTATAAAATATTATACTATTAACTTCAAATGATTATATATGATTGACAAACTATCCTTCAAGTATTACTTTAGTTAATAGATTTATAATTCAAATATTATATTAAAAAAATTTTAAATTTAAGTATTATACTGAATATTTTACTATATTTACGGATCATTCATGAATTATCCCTTATATTAAATATGACATCACATAATCCAAAATTTTCTTTTTATTTTATTTTATTTTCTTCTAATTTTAATATGACATTTTCTATTAATGCCACATCATATTTTTCAATTGATCTTCATTTTTTTTCTTATCGTATTTTTTTAGATTTTTTTCAATTTAAAATAATATCTTAAAAAATTTTCTACTAAATATTTTTTATTGCTTCAAGATTTGAAGTATGATAATAAATTTGCTCTAAAATTAAAAACATATAATAAAATTGTACCAATTTAAAGACTAATGGTACATTTAAACTACAAACATAGGTAATGTTGTAAATTTGTACTTTCTTCTTTTGGCTTTACTTACTAGAAAAGATAAAAAAAATGTAAAAATAAAAAATTTATTAATCTAATGATTAAGCTACAAAGTAACAAAGTGGTTATGAATTTAATCATTGAATTAACAAAATTTTCATTTTTACTTTTTTTCATTCTTTCTACCAAATAAAACTTTAATCTTTTGTAACTTTTAAATTAGACCTATTCCAAGTCTGAACTAGCCCCCAAATCCAAAGAATTATTCAAATTTTGAAAGGATTTAAATAAAATATTAAATTTCATTAAATATGTTTGGATAATTTTTAAAATCGTTTAAATTTTAGGTCGAGTTTTAAATCAAAGATTTAAACTTTGAGCCAGACTCAGCTCAACTCAAATTCACATAATTTTTTATTTTTATATATCTATTAATTATATATAAATTAATTTATATTTATATAAAAATTGAAAATAAATATTATATATTTCATTAAACTTAAGTTTTTTATTTTTAATTCTTACATATATAATTTTTAATTTTAATTTATATATATATGAATTAAATATAATCTCATTAAACTTAATTTAATCATATTTTTTTTATTTTTATTATATATATTAAGTTTAATAGATGTGTTTAAGATTTATATTTTTTTAATTTGGATCTAACTTAAAAAATTTTGAAATCTGATATTTTAGACTGGATCTAAATGAACAAACATACTATTAATATCAAACATAAATCCAATCCAACTCAACTTGACCCATTTTATAAACACTTCTACTTTAAATGATCGTAAGATATATTTAATGTAATGATTACTTTAATAAAATATTTAATGATTACTTTAATAAAATATTTCGATCTTAGCAGTTTATATTGTATGTCGTCAAATTGAAGTTGATATCATTAATGAATTAGAATTTAGACTCTTGATGGATTATTATTTAAAAGCTACATGTATAATTTTTTTCATCTTTGCGATAACTTGTGTCTTTTATTTAAGTATTAGTGTTAACTTTGATCACACTTTCAATGGATAAGCCATAACTTTCTATTTAGTTCCTCTTTATTTTCTTAGCATTTGATAATTGTATTTTACTTAATATACATTAATTTTTAATAGATGCAACAATGTGAACTCAATAACCACCCGCGAAGCAAAAGTAACATTCTAATAATGCTTAATTGTAAATAAAATTTTAAAATTATCAATTATTAGTTTTTATATTAATTTTGTTTTAATATTATTATTTTTAATTTCCAAAATATTAATTTAAAATTTATATTTATTGTATTATTAAAAAAATTAAATTTAATAATAATTATTATTTAAGTTAGTTTTTTTTTATTAATAATTGTTTTAAAAAAGGTTACCCATGTAAAGCATAACACCATCCAAGTTGTCATAATTGAGAAATCGTGATAGAATTCAAAATGAAAGTAGTTTAATTTGAAATAATTAAAATTTTTTGGATAAGCAAATAATTAAAAGAATAGTCTAATTAAAAGATAAACAATTTAACTTCAAAAAATATATAAATAAACAATTTAATCACTCATCCGATTACTTCTCCATGCAAAATTGGCATACATTCATGAAGAAGAAGACTAGATAACTACATTTATAAAGTCTATGGTTGTCTCTAGAAGCTCCAACTAGCAAAAAATTTCAGTAATTAAATATACTTCCCATAATTTCTCCAAAAACTTTGCAAATAAATATTCTAAAAGCATTTTTTAAAATTATTATATAAAGCATTCAATATATAAACAATTATCAATAAAATTATGAATTATTGCATTAATACAAAATTATTAGTATAAATAATATATTAACTAACTTTAAAGATAAATATCCCTAGAACACTAATTAACAAAATCGAAAAATCCTTTTTTTTTAATTTTTATGATCAATTTTTCCTTCAAAGACAAGTAAACAATATTCATGTAATTTGTTGTTAACTAATATTATTTTATAATTAATCAAAGTCACACTGAAACTTAATTATGTTTGCAGGGTCCAATCATCGAATTCATCACTCCAATAATAAATCTCTCTATGATTTGAAGAAAAAAAATCGAATAAATGCTTAATTTAATCTCTAACGGTTGTTTAAATCAAAATCTCATCTTTTAATTTTAACAATTAAAAAATCTTATCTATTCAAGATACAATAATTATTCCCTTCATCCCATATTGTTGATCATATATTGACTTTTAGTTTAAAAAAATTTTTTGACTTTAAAGTATTTAATATTAAAATTAAAATTTTTTTTTATAAAATTAAAGTTTCATGATTCTCAATATCAAAAAGAAAAAAAAATTTAAAATTTTAAAATATAAAAATGTAAAAATTTTAAATGTTTAAAAAAGAAAACATAGCATAATTTTGGCACATCTTGAAAAAAAATGGACAAAAAAAAAAGGGACAGAGGGAGTAAAATTTTTTTTTATGAAATTTAGTGCGAGTAATACCGTGCATTAAGTTAGACCTTTTAGGTTATGTGTAATTTATTAAGGGACATGACATTTATAATTTTAATTTTTTTTCCTTTTTCCTTTTTTTTTTTTTCCTTTTTTTCTTTCTTCTTTCTTTCTTCTTCTTCTATCTTCCTTTTCTTTTGGTTCACTTTTTCTCTAACTTAGACCTTTTCCTTTTAGTCCATTTTCGACCATTATGTGACATTGTGACCTATTGGCGCCGTTGTCAACCACCATCTTCCACCATTAGTGTCTTTTTTAGCTCAAAATTTCACCAAAAGTTTCTTTAAACCTCGTCTTTCCTAATATCCAAACGGATTTTCCAGAACACCTCCAATCGCCTAAATTTGTACCTAAAGCCATGGATTTTTTTTCCCAAGAGACTCCTATTTTTGTTACTTCAAATGATCCCAACATTTACCATGTTAATCCCTCCTCAATTTCTTTCTTTCCATCAATTTGGATTTCCCACAACATAAGCATTTCTCAATCTTCCAAAAAAAAAAAAAAAAGCCAAAAACGTCATCACATAAAAGTTATTGTTAACAACATAATCAAACTTCAAACCAATGGCCCCAAACATAATAAAAGGCACCACTTTTTTTTTCAAATACCCAATTCATAAAAGTACCTCTTTAATTCAAAATCACAAATAAAACTGCTAAAAAAAA